GGTAGAACGAGGGATCGAGATCCACCGGCGATGCCGTCGCTCTCCTGCCACAACCTGCTGGACCTGGCGGAGGAGCTGCCCCCATCCCCGCTCCGGCTCCCGCGGGTCATGGCCGGCGCCTCCCCCTCCTCGCCGGCCTCGCCGTCCCCGGCCGGGCCACCTCGCCGGGTCATCGTCTCGCACCGGCTCCCCCTCCGCGCGTCCCCCGACCCCGCGGCGCCGTTCGGGCTGCGCTTCACCGTCGACGCGGGCACCGTCGCCTACCAGCTCCGCTCGGGCCTGCCCGCCTCCGCCCCCGTGCTGCACGTCGGCACGCTGCCCCCCGCCGCCGCCGAGGCCGCCTCCGACGAGCTCGCCAGCTACCTGCTGGCGCACTTCTCCTGCCTCCCCGTCTTCCTCCCCGCCGACCTCCACGGCAAGTTCTACCACGGCTTCTGCAAGCACTACATGTGGCCGCTCCTCCACTACCTGCTCCCGCTCACGCCCTCCACGCTCGGGGGGCTGCCCTTCGACCGCGCGCTCTACCACTCCTTCCTCTCCGCCAACCGCGCCTTCGCCGACCGCCTCACCGAGGTGCTCGCCCCCGACGACGACTTCGTCTGGATCCAGGACTACCACCTCCTCGCCCTCCCCACCTTCCTCCGCAAGCGCTTCCCGCGCGCCAGGGTCGGATTCTTCCTCCACTCGCCCTTCCCCTCCTCCGAGATCTTCCGCACCATCCCCGTCCGCGACGACCTGCTCCGCGCCCTCCTCAACGCCGACCTCGTCGGCTTCCACACCTTCGACTACGCGCGCCACTTCCTTTCGGCCTGCTCCCGCCTCCTCGGCCTCGACTACCAGTCCAAGCGCGGATACATCGGCATCGAGTACTACGGCCGCACCGTCACCGTCAAGATTCTGCCCGTCGGCATCGACATGGGCCAGCTCCGGTCGGTCGTGTCGGCGCCGGAGACGGCGGACGTGGTGCGCCAGGTCGCCGACGCCTACAAGGGGAGGCGCCTCATGCTCGGCGTGGACGACGTCGACCTCTTCAAGGGGATCGGGCTCAAGTTCCTGGGGATGGAGCAGCTGCTGGTGGAGAACCCCGAGCTCCGGGGCAAGGCCGTGCTCGTGCAAATCACCAATCCGGCGCGCAGCGAGGGCCGGGACGTGCAGGAGGTGCAGGATGAGGCCAGAGCCATCAGCGCCCGTGTCAACGAGCGGTTCGGCACCCCCGGGTACACCCCCATCGTGATGATCAGCCGCCCGGTGTCGGAGTACGAGAAGGCGGCTTACTACGCCGCCGCCGAGTGCTGCGTGGTGAGCGCCGTCCGCGACGGGCTCAACCGGATTCCGTACATCTACACGGTGTGCCGGCAGGAGAGCACCGCCCTGGGCGACGCCCCCAAGCGAAGCGTCATCGTGCTGTCCGAGTTCGTGGGATGCTCCCCGTCGCTCAGCGGGGCGATCCGGGTGAACCCATGGAGCGTGGAGTCCGTGGCAGAGGCCATGAGCTCGGCATTGAGGATGTCCGACGGCGAGCAGCGGCTGCGCCACGAGAAGCATTACAAGTATGTGAGCACCCATGATGTGGCCTACTGGGCGCGGTCCTTCGACCAGGACCTGCAGCGGGCCTGCAAGGACCATTTCTCGCGGCGGCATTGGGGGATTGGGTTCGGGATGAGCTTCAAGGTGGTGGCGCTTGGCCCAAATTTCAGGCGGCTCTCCGTCGAGCACATTGTGCCGTCGTTCAGGAAGACGGAGAACCGGCTGATTCTCCTGGACTACGATGGCACCGTGATGCCGGAGAGTTCCATCGACAAGGCGCCGAGCAGTGAGGTCATCTCTGTCTTGAATCGGCTGTGCGAAGATCCGAAGAACAGGGTGTTCATCGTGAGCGGTCGGGGGAAGGATGAGCTGAGCAAGTGGTTCGCGCCATGTGAGAAGCTGGGGATTGCTGCAGAGCATGGCTACTTCACTAGGTGAGATCTCTAGACACTTGTCGGTAAAAGATCTACTGCTAGTTGGTACGGTGTTGCTTTGCTCTCGATTCTTGTTGACTGCTTTAGATGTGGATAATAAAATCTTTAGAAAGCAAAGCATGCGAATTAAGCAAAGGTACTACTAGAAACAGCACATCCAAGAAAACATTTCAAGTTGCACAATGAGTAACCAACTGGTCTAGATACATTTCTAGAGCATCAAATAGCTCCTCTGAAATTAGCCTTGAATCGTAGACATCCTTGCTTCCAGAACAAATTTAGGAGGTTATGGGTTTGGAGGGTGGGAAGTGATTGATTTCGACCAGGAGCCTAAAGCATAGATGGTTACTGTTCCAGTATTCCTTTAGGTAGAAGAGAGCATTCAAATCTTTGTTTGTGGTTGCGAATTTGACACCTACTAAAAACTCTGGCCATTTCTTCATTGCAGGTGGAGCAAGGAATCGCCATGGGAGACCTGCGGGCTGGTGGCAGACTTCGATTGGAAGAAGACGGCCGAGCCGGTGATGAGACTGTACACAGAGGCCACCGATGGATCGTACATCGAGCACAAGGAGAGCGCGCTGGTGTGGCACCACGACGAGGCGGATCCTGACTTCGGTTCATGCCAGGCGAAGGAGCTGCTCGACCATCTCGAGAGCGTGCTCGCCAACGAGCCAGTCGTCGTGAAGAGGGGCCAGCACATCGTGGAGGTTAACCCCCAGGTAAGCGCGTGCAAGCTGCTTCTCTCCTCTCTCTCTGGCTGTAGTTCTACAGTTTTAGAGTTGATTAATTGGGCTGCTGCTAGTCGGGTCAAATGGAAAAACAATTAATTGGGGTCGTAGACTTGTACTATAAAAACATGTTGAACAACAGCTAAACAACCAGACGTAGCTGTCCAACTAAAGGCAACGGATAAGGATTGATCCGATCTGATCCAATCCAATCCGATCCAGTCCTCATCCACCAGACCACACCACCACATGCCTGATTGCCTCCCTGCTGGAACAATCTATATCTTCTCCACGAAACAGACTTGTTGAATCCGCAGGTGGGCCAGTTCCCCGGCGTCGACAGGGAAATTCGTGGAAGAAACACCCATTTTGTCCCCATTGGCATTTGGACGAGAACAACTTGCGTGGCGCTATTGATTCTATTTTAGAAGAAGAAAGCAGCATCTGTGTCACTTGCCAGCACCACCAACCTTGAATGAAACTTGAGTATCGCTGTCTTAGTTTGACATGAATGAAATATCTCTTCTCTCCGTGGTCGTCGTGCAGGGCATCAGCAAGGGCGTGGTGGTGGAGAGCCTCCTGTCGTCCATGGTGCGCGGCGGCAAGGCGCCCGACTTCGTGCTCTGCATCGGGGACGACCGGTCCGACGAGGACATGTTCGAGAGCATCGTGTGCCCGGCCAACGGCAGCGTGAAGCTCCCGGCGACGAGCGAGGTGTTCGCGTGCACCGTGGGGAAGAAGCCGAGCATGGCCAAGTACTACCTGGACGACACGGTGGACGTGATCAAGATGCTGCAGGGGCTCGCGAACGCGCCGTCGCAGCAGCGGCCGTGGCCCGTGCAGCTCCGGGTCACCTTCGAGGAAGGAAACGGAGTATGAACAAACCAAGGAGGAGATGTCAATAACCAGTGAAAAAAGAAGGACGACGGTGGTGATGATGATGATGATGATTCAGCGAGTCGGTTGGTGTGGTTTTAGGATTAGCTGCAGTTACAGGATAAACAGGTTTCTTTCTTCTTCTTTCTTCTGCTTCTTTTTCTGGTTTACGTTTCCGACCTCTTCCTCTCGCGCACGCATATACATATGCCCGCCCGCCCCCATACATTGAGCGTGAGAGGGAGAGGTTTGTTCCTTCGGGTCACATTGTATATGTAGTTGACGATGACGATGAAGATGAAATCAATCAGAGCAAGAAAAATGATTCTTTCAGGCCCCCCATGCTATGGCGATAGTATATCCTTGATCCATCCCTCCCCCACTATTGCAACCTTAATTTCACGCCTTATATGGATGCGGTGGAGTGGCAGTCATATTCGGCCACGCTTTTCACCTTTGCTGCTGCATTATTACAACCAGATCTGGTCCATCCTGATGGATGGATGGATGTCCACCGGATAATTGGTAAGCGCGTCCAGATCAGACCAGGTGCTCTTACCTCGTTTCGCCGCCAGCATATCGAGAGGCTAAGTTTGCCGTTCATCAAAATGAGAGACAAGTTGGCAAGCCTAAGGTAATTTTGCCACACTTTCTGTTTGTATGTCATGTGGGGCCTAGTGTGGCTTGCCTAAGATGTGGCTTGAACCAAACACTCATCTAAGTTAGTCAAACTTGCCTAACCTTAGATGTCGCAACCTTTACAAAGTTAGTCATAAACCAAACAACTCCTAAGAGCAACAACGCGCCAACCCGTTTTGTCCGCTTTTCCTATAGGTCGACTTGAGCGCCCAACAAAAGACGGACCCGAATTTGCCCGCGAAGAAAAAAAAACTCATTGCAAAATATACATAATTAAACATTAAGTGGTAGGTCTATGGCCGGCCAAATTTCACTTAAACATTAATTTAAAATATAAAAAAGTCTGTGCCCAAACGCTGTCCTAGACGTCCTTCGTCTTGTCCTTGACGTCGCCATCGCCACCAATGAGATCGATGAAGAAGGGAGCCGGGCCAGCCACCCAAACACCCTTGGTACACTGTTAGGACAACCTCCTCCCGTGTCTGCTGGGGCGACGGCATTGCGGCTCGCCGGGTGCGCTCCTCCTCCTCCAGCCGCAGTGCCTCGGCGTCGCGGCGCAACTGTCGCTCCCAAAGCATCTGTCGCTCGTCGTCGGACTCCTCCTGAGCGAGCAAGTGCGCCTTCTAGCGCTCAAGGTGGACCGCCGCCTCCTCCGGCGTCGCGACGTAGTGGACCGGAGGCGCGCTCACCCACTCGCGAAACTCGCCGGTCCACATGTAGGACTCCTCCGGCCAAGTGGGTGGAGGCGGCGAGCGCTTCCGCGTTGGCATGGGCTCCCGTTCCGGCTTGGGCTTGACGGCGGGCAGCGGCAGCGGTGGCGGAGGCGGGGAAGAAGAGCGGGGCGTGGACGGAGTCCCCTGCCGCCGACAAGGCGAGGGCGCGCTCCATCCCATCCCATTGGGCCTCCTCCTCGATCCTGCTCGCCTCCAGCGCGTGCTGCAGGACTAGCTCGAGGGCGGTTTGGTACGCCGTCTCTTCGTCCTCCTCATGCAACAGAACCTCATGCGGCGGCGGAGGAACGTCGTGGTCGACGTGGACGCCTTGGCGGCACTCCTCCTTGTGCTCCAGCGTGAACCAGCGCTCCCAGTTGGGGGAGTCTGGCACGTAGGCACGCATTTGCCGCTGTTCTGGAGTGAGGGCCTCGCGATGCCGGCGAACCTCCTCGGCGTGAGCCCGCGCCGTGCATGACACGGCCAGAATAAGGATCCGCTGCGGAACCAGATGCTAGCTGTGAGGCAGGTTGACATCCGGATACTGCAATGGCCGGCGGTACTACCAGTGCCGCCGCTTCTGGTGGACTGGTATGTACAAACATTGTCGCTCTGGTGCTGAGCCGCGTCTAGGAGGCGGCGACGGAGGCGCTCGCCCCGGCGAGCCGTGGGAAGTGCTCGCACCGGGGTTCAGCTTCCCCCTCCCCTTGCCACTGAAAAAACGTTTGGGCTTGCTAGGGTTCCTGGTCGCCGGTGAGGAAGCACCGCATGGTCAGATGTGGATGGGTGTTACAAGTGGATGAGGCCGGCCCCGTCGCACGCTTTCATTAAAAAGGACGGGCACATGAACCTTTCACACACTGCCAGGCGGGCTCCAAGGTAGGCGCTGGCATTTAATAAGACGTGGGTGGTGGTTGGATGGCCAACAAATGAGAACGCGGCGGACATCGAGGGCGTCCGCGTCGTGTCCGCGCCGACACGTTTCAGGCGCAATTTTTGCCGGAATGGGTCCACGCGGACGCGATTCAGACGGATTTTGAAAATGGGTCGGCGTGTTGGTCCGGCGTTTTTGTCCGCGGTATCCAAACGGACGCGGTCGAATGAAATGGGTTGCCATTTGGAGTTGCTCTAGCCTAATCCGCCGCAAACCCCCACCCGATCACTTGACATTACATACACAGTGATACCTCTGTACCACGTCCGGCCCGGCTGAAAGCAGACGTTTAGACATGTGACATTTCCTAGGAGCCAAACTTCAACGACCGAAGCAAGTTTTCCTTGGCCATGATTACAGTTGGCAATTCTTCGTTGTCAGAGGATAGCTACATTGGCCGTGCCGTGCCAGTACGTAGTACGATCGAGCATGCACACCACAGTCGATGCGGTAGACGCGGGAGAGGGACAGGGACCGATCGATCGACCGGTCGGTGCCATCCGCTGAGGCGCGTGCATGGGATGCCGCCCGGGTGATCCATCATTCCGCCTCGCATGCACGCCTGCCGGCAAGAGGCTTTGGGCGCCATGATTCAGGTGCCTGGCTGGACTCAGCTGTGGCGTGCATGATGAATACACTTTGGATCACGACCTGAGTGTATATATATCATCAACCTGTAAAGTTGTTAATTTCCAATTGCTGTGAAGTTGGATGGAGCTGTCCCCAGGTGCAACCTGGAGAGATGGAAGAAAAATCCGGAGACCGAGAGACGACCAACTTCCTCCACTCCACTCCACTCGGCAGGTCCCATAGCAAGAGCTTTACACGAATCTTCCATGCACAAACTGGTCGAGGTCAAACAAAGGCAGCCAAGCCCGGCAGGCCGGGACAGGACACACGCTAGCCACCACCGAACTCTATCTACTACCGATCATCTATATCCATCGTGTGGCGCCGTGTTCCACATTCTCCGGGCCTCATCGATCAGCAGTGCATGTGGGTGCGTCGTCCGTTGCGTGGAAGAGTCTGAGACGTTTCTCGCCGATGAATCGGTGGCCAGCGCTGCTGGTTCTGGTCCGTCCGGGAGATGGCGTAGGCCAAGTCCACGTCGCCCCGCCGTGCCTTGTCCACGTCGCCAATGGAGAACGGGTCGGTCGGATGGCGTAGGTAGGCGTCCCGTCGCGGTCAGCATGGATGGATGGATGGATCAGGGATGTAAACTGACCGCGTTCAGATCAGATCAGATCAACCGTGCATGGTGGGTAAATCAACAGTGCCGCCACGTAACTACTCTCTCCGTTTCTAAATGTAAGTTTTTTTTAGACATTTTAAATGGACTATAACAATACGGATGTATGTAGATATATTTTAGAATGTAGGTTTACTCATTTGGCTTCATATGTAGTCATTTATTGAATCTCTAAAAAGACTTAGATTTGGGAACGGAGGGAGTATAGTGCATGCTCTTGTCCCCAGCCTGAGTGGTGCTAGATTGGTTCATGCATATGCGTTCCCTCGCGTGCCGGTCATCATCGGGTCGGATGGTGCAGTCACTCTGTTCTTTCTTCTTCGTATATATGCCGCGGCTACTTTGTCTGTGCGTTGGTGAGTCTCTCTTGCACGTTTTTCATCACACGGCTGGTGAGTAGGTGGCGGCCGCCTTCACCTGCAAGCAGCCTCTCTCTGCATGCTTGGGTAAATCCAACCGTCGACCGGTGCTTCCTCAAGTTGCTTCGTGCGATTAACAACCGTGCTCCTAAAGGGTATGTCACGTTGCTTTCCACCCGAAAGTCCTTTTTTCTCTTATCGCCTTAGCATTTGTTTATCATGCATGAGTGACATGCTTCACGTTCTTCTTGTAATGAATTAAAAACCACGAGGAGGGATGAAGCGTGAGCTAGCTAACTGCACTTATCTGTCCCTAAGATTTTTGTGTCATCATAATTTAACTCTTTCTCCATCGTTTTGCTGCCATGCACGTATGCTGAGCCAAAATTCAAGGTATGATATCGACAATTTTGGCGTCCATTTCTACCAACTAATTACTAGATAACTAGCTCTACTACTCCACAATTGGTGGTAGTAGTTTGTTTCTTCATAAATTCCAGCCTACGTATATTATTGTGCCGCCGCCTCGTTCGGCCACGTACACTAGCCATGCTAGGACAGATGTTTGGATATGGCAGCTCGGTTAGCCATCCATTTTCCACACCTAGCCGTGGCCACTAGATCCAACCTAAACTTCCACATGGATGCGCTCACCGACCGGCGGGGCAAGAACTTGAACTCACGTGTAGTGGACTAGAATTAGATACGGCAGATTAGTGGATAATTGGCCAGCCAGGAAAGAATATCTTATATTCTCCCGTTCCATGCATGCATGTTCATCCGTTTCGATCTGGCCATCATTAACAACACATGCATGCATGCGCTAGGACAAATTAGTGGATAAGGACAAGTAAGGCTAAGGCTTGATCTTGTTTAACATGACATTGACCAAGAACCCTTACTTCAGACGACCCACGGCCATTTTTTTCTTTTCGAAAAGGGGATACCCCAGCCTCTGCATCTGAATGATGCATACGGCTCATATTATTAATGTATGCATGTTCTTCCCGTTCCATGCATGCATATATTTTTTTTGAACAGAAGGATTTCATTAATATGGCATTAAGCACACTTTACAAATAGCAGCTCGAGTGGCTGAGCACTCATTGCTG